CCTATGAGGAGAGGCTGAGGGACCTGAATCTCTTTAGTCTCCGCAAGAGGAGACTGAGGGGGGATCTTGTGGCTGCCTACAACCTTATCAGGGGCCAGCAGGAGGGACTCGGGGCAAGTCTGTTCACCAGGGCCCCCCTTGGAGTCACCAGAAACAATGGCCACAAGCTGAGGGAGGATAGGTTTAGGTTAGATACTAGGAAGAACTACTTCACCGTAAGGGTGGCCAGAGCCTGGAACAGGCTGCCCAGAGAGGTGGTGCTCTCACCTTCCCTGGAGATCTTCAAGAGGAGACTGGATAGGCACCTGGCTGGGGTCTTATGACCCCTGCCACCCCCAGTGCGCCTTCCCGCCCATGGCAGGGGGTCGGACTAGATGATCTGTCCAGGTCCCTTCCCACTCAGTGATTCTATAATTCTAAGAAGTTCAGTGCACTTATACTGCTTTCAAAATGGCTGAAACTGGTTTAAAATAAACCTAGATGGATATAGTATCAGATTTAACTGATTGTGTCAAACCAGTTAATGGAACTTCTGTCCCAGATCCCCTCCCGATTCAAATTAACACACAGTCCTTCAGCATCCCAGAATGCTGTGCAGCCCTGGGCTGTGCTCTCTGCTCCAGCAGAGCGGGGCAGTCCCCACCCCAGCTGTAAGATGCCTGACAGCCCAGAGCTTGGTGGATTCCCCCCACCCTGTCACCTTCTTCACCAGGGGAATTGGCCCAGCTCCCAGCTGCGGCGGGGGAGTAAAACCCCCACTGCAGGCTTCCCTGCATGCTGGACACAGCCTGTCTGGGGGTCCAGAGCACGAGGGGCATTACCCTCCACTCCCACCCCAGCTGGCCCACTGGCTGAGGAAGGGGTGTAGCTGGGTGATTACTCCCCCTACCTGAGCTGGGAGCCAGGGCAAAGACCCCACTACGGGCTCCGTGTCTTCCCTGCTGCTGGCCAAAGCCTGGCTGGGGGTCTGGGGAGGGGGAAGGAGAGGGTGGCCATTCTCTCTACCCCACAACTCCCTCCTCACCCTGCCCACCAACCAGGGAGGGGTCATGGCCAGGTGATTGCACTGGCTCCCAGTTTCCAGCTCAGGTGGAGAGTAAAGCCCCTACTTCAGGCTCCCCACACCCTGTGCCAGGCACAGCCCAGCTGAGGTCCAGATCCTGGCGAACAGGGGGTGTTTCCCCCCCACCCCTCCTCAGATGGGCCCATCAGCAGGGGAGTGGGAGTGCCCAGGTGATCGCCTTGGCTCCCAGACCATGCCTTCTCCCAGGCTGGCAGGCCAGCTGAGGGGGAAGTCGGGGAGGGGAGGGGCGCACCTAGCTTTGGACCCCCTCAGCCAAGCTGTGCCCAGCAGACTCAGCCAGACTGCCAACCAAAGAGGGGCCATGGCTAGGTCATCGCCCCGGCTCCCAGCTCCAGGAAAGCTCCCAGTGATGGCTTTACTCCCCCCACCCAAGCTGGGAGCTTGGATGGTCACCCGACCATACCTTCTCCCTGGCCAGTAGGCCAGCTGAGGGGATAGTCGGGGTGGTGGGGAGGCCTCCACTGAAAGCTGCCTGCTGTGCTGGCCACAGCCTGGCTGGGAGTCCAGAGCTGGGTGGGGGCACCCTTTCCCCCCTCACTCCCTCCTCAGCTGGCCTGATGGCCAAGGAGGGGGCATGGCTTGGTGATTGCCCCAGCTACAGAGAAGCCGACAGTGGGGCTTTACTCCCCTGCTCAAGCTGGGCTGATCACCTGGCCACTGCCCCTCCTCAGTCAGCAGGCTGGCTGAGGAGGGAGAGGGGTGGGGAAATGGCCTCTACCGCAGGCTTCTCCCCCACTCTCCACCCAGCACAGCCCAGCTAAGGGTCCAGAGCCAGAAGAGGGGGGATCCCCCCCATTCCTTCCTTCCTTCCTTCTTCCACAGGGAAGAAAGGGAGAAATGCCTTGCTGGGGGCTCTCCCCTCCCTTTCCGGGTGCCAGGGAAACCCTCAGCTGGAGGTTTCCCCCCACTTCCCCTCTTCAGCAGGCTGGAGGTTGAAGAGAGAGCCTGGCTGGGGGAATTGCCTGTCTCCTGGCTCTGAGGTGGACAGCAGGCTGGGAGGCGTGCTCTAGAGCCCCCCACCTCCTGGTATGGGCCACTGCAGGGGTCTGGCTGCCTTTCAGGTTTGAAAAGTGAATGTCCATTCACTTTCTTATTGGTTCAATCTCGGCAGTTTACAGAAACCTGCAAAAATTTAATCGATTCAGCCTCGGGCTTTTTGACTGTCTATACTTAGCCCTGGAGTACTGTGTCCAGTTTTGGGCCCTGCACTACAGAAAGGATGTGGACAAGCTGAAGAGAGTCCAGTGAAGGGCAACAAAAATAATTAGGTGGCTGGGGCACATGACTTCTGAGGAAAGGCTGTGGGAACTGGGCTTTAGTCTGCAGAAGACTGAAGGGGATTTAATAGCAGCCTTTAACTACCTGAAGGGCGGTTCCAAAGAGGATGGAGCTGGACTCTTCTCAGTGGTGGCAGATGACAGACCAAGGAGTAATGGTCTCAAGTTGCAGCAAGGGAAGTTAGATATTAGAAAAAACTCTCACTAGGAGAGTGGTGAAGTACTGGAATGGGTTACTTAGATAGGTTGTGGAATTTCCATCCTTGGAGGTTTTTAAGTCCTGGCTTAACAAAGCCTTGGCTGGAATGATTTAGTTGGGGACGGTCCTGCTTTGAGCAGGGGGTTGGACTAGGTGACCTCCTGAGATCCCTTCCAACCCTAATTTTCTATGATTCTATATACATATCAAAAGCAGAATCCAGGTTGCTAGGGAAGCCTGGATTCTGGATTTTCTAGTCCTTGAGCAAATCAAATCTCAAAATGAATATTTTTTCAGAACACTGACTGCCAAGTGTCAGTGATAGAAATAACTGGATATGCTGATCCCTATCCCACAATCAGCATGTGACATCTCTTCTATAACC